GGAAACTTATAAAATCCATTTTGTTCAATTTGGTTATTAATTGTAAATTTTAATTATCAAAAATTTAGTTTTGGTTATAATCGAGTGTGGCTGTGCCCCCTATATATTACCCAGAAGGAAGGCCAGAATATGTTTGATAGACCCTATTAATAAACAAACCAAATTAGCCAAATTAAAGAGCTTGGCTGAATTACAACTAAATTTTTCAAAGTTTTGAGTTTGGTTTGAAGCTGGATAATTTAACCAAAGTCGTTATCAATAATCTTGAATTGGGAATAACTTTGAATGTAAATGGTTTAGGGATTGAAACAAAGATTGAAGTCAGTGAGTAAGGCCCTTGACCTAGTCTTGGAGACAATAATCGACGAGCACCAAGGAGCCAGTACTAGTCCCAATCCTTTCGGACAAAAAAATCAGCACATGGATTTTGTTGACCTATTGCTTTCAATGCTGAATGAGCCTATGAATCCCCACGACGATGAGCCACCACACATATCATCAATAGAACCAACATCAAAGCCATCATACTAGATGTTATTGTAGCCGCACTTGATGCAGCAACAACCACAATTGAGTGGGCACAATCAGAAATTATAAGGCATCCCCAGGTGAGGTTACATATTCAAAAAAAGCTTGAAAGTGTAATTGGAATGAATAGACTGGTGGAGGAATTAAGTTGCTTAGATTTGGTCGTGAAGGAAAATTTGAGATTGCACCCTGTTGCACCACTATTGATACCGCACGAGTCCATGGAGGATGTCACAATCAATGGATATGACATACTAAAAATTCTTGGATTTTGGAAAACATTTGGGCAATTGCACGAGATCCTAAAGTTTGGTCGGATAAAGTGGAAGAATTTTTACTGGAGAGACTCATGGGTAGCAATATGGACTTCCAAGGAAGGGATTTTCAGTTCATTCCATTTGGGACTGGTCGGAGGAGATGCCCTGTAATGCATTTAGGCCTAACCACAGTTAAACTTGTTTTGGCTCAGCTTGTGCATTGCTTTGATTGGGAATTGCCTAATGGGACGTTGCCTCACGAGTTGGATATGGGAGAGAAATTTGGGCTCTCAATGCCAAGAGCCACTCCCTTGTTTGCTAAGCCAATCTATCGCCTAGCCAATTCGTTGAATTATGTAAAGTAGTATTTGCTTAATTTGGATAGCTCTATTTTTTT